TTTTTTCGCAAAAGAAGAAAATTTCCAAAAAAGAAAATTTTCAAAAATCAGTGATGTACGGGAAAGAGTTTTTTTTTTTTGCATTTATTATATAATTATATAATATACAAATATTATTTTATAGTAGATAATAGATATAAAAACCTCTTTCGAGGAGAAGCTATAAAATAGAACAAGAATCTTTTGAAGGAGTTTGAATTGTATTTTCTTTTTTTCCTTTTTCCAATACCATACTTTAGCAATTCATTATTTTTCAAAATAATTAACAGTGATAAACTGTTGGCAATGATTCTAATTGATTTAGAGATACTATATCAAGTTACTAGGAGAGTGTAATATTGTCCCCTAAATTAGATTTAGAGTATCTAGTTTAAACTTGGTTTTGTTTAATCTGAACTGGCTTAGTGGACTCCTTATATTTTTTAAGTAGTGTAGTTCTTTAACTAATAATGTACAATAATAAGTTAGTCACTTTGTGAAAGTCTGTAAAATATTTTAATATTTTTTAGTATTTCAATAATGATATATCAAAGTAGCATAATTGTGAATTAAAAAAAAAATCATTTCCTAGATTGTATCTAATAAAATAATTTCTCTATGATGAGTGAGCTAACATATGAAAGTCATAACAATTTAAATATTTTGCATATATACAATAAAGATATACCATGTTAACCTGATTGTGAGTTAAAAAAAAAATTATTAGATATTAATTTTTTAATAATTCAAAGTTATTTAATGAAAGTAATATTTTATAAGGTTATTTTCTATATAAAACTCCTGTTGATATAATAAAAGTTAAAATATACTCGGTTTTTTTAAATACTAATATATTGATTATTATATTTATTCCAATAGATAACTGATTCTACTTTTCTGTAGATTTCTAGATACTCTACAATATATGGATAATTATTTTCGAACTTGGCGTATTATTCAAAAATAGGGATCGAAAAAATCATATTCAATATTTTGATCGCTTCAAAAATGATTATCCATATTCAGTTTCATTTCTTAGATAAGTTCAATTCTCGAGAAAATCGACTATTAAAATTTATTTAACTACGTACAGTAAGTAAGGGACATACAGTATAATCACATGATCCAATTTTTAATTCTCCCTCAAAGATATAATTAAGTGATTTCTATTATCTGATACATGATTAAATACCTCTTCGTTAAAGTAGTAATAATAACTCATTGCCATATAGATTGCAGCAGGGTCAACCATACTCGTATGGTGATCACCAACTCTACAGAAGACTTTAGCATTAATTACACGTATCCTGATTTATGATACAGCCACCAGAAATCATGTGAAAAATAATCGGCGTTATGTAATTTCAGCCAGGAATCCATTATAAAGAAATAGGAAACAATCAACAAATAGACTTATCATTTCACGCTAAAATTAAACAATCTAAGTTTGTTGTGGCACATTTTTTTGTTGCAATAGATTAATTAATTATAAAATCATGAATTCTATTCTCATGTATCAATAATTTTTTTTTGTTTTTGTGGATTCACTTTAATCGATTCATAATTTTTTACAAGACACATTTGTTCAATAACACCATGGAAAACTTGAAATATGGTTAGTTTGTTTTGACTTGTTTAATGTCATTGATATTTGTACCATTAAAAATGTTTCATCATTCTGTGTAGTTCATTCTGGTATTTCATCAATTCCTCCGGAGATTTTATACGAAATTTTTCAATACATTTATATGATTGATGAACAGGAGGCATTCTTTGATACTCGAAGATTACATAATCTGTATTCATGTCTCTTGGTGAATCGAATCTGGTGTAGACTAGTTGTTCCATTGATATGGAGTCAACCTACAAAATACTCTGGAAAAAGTAGCCAAAACCACAAGATTATCACAACCTACCTTCTGAGTCTCGACGATGACCACAGAGAAGAGCTAGTGAAAAATGATATCATCATTCCGAAAAAAAATTCGAATTTGGTGTTTCAATACGCCTCTTATATTAAACATTTGAACTACAAAAATTTAAGTGACGCGATCAGGGACTGGTTAAGGGAGACTTGGGCCTATCATAAATATATTGACCACGAGCAGGCAGCCCTTTGTGTTATGCACACCCTCCTTGAATTGTTTTTGAAGATGTCAGCAGTTATCAGGAATTTGGAAGATTGGTCTATTCACGAAAATGTCGAAGCTATGCAAATGCTTCTAGTTCATCCAAGTTTGCAAAACTTGTTCCTAAATATTCAATTTCTTAGTATTGATTTGAAGCCAGAAAGAGATCATTGGATTTCCAACGTTCTTCCAAAGACATGCAGGAAATTGGTATTTTCCATTTACTGTTAATTGTTCGATATCCAACTTCATTCTATTAAATAATTACTGTTCAAACAGAAATCATTAAGCGTCAGAAGAATTTCGGCAAGAGATTCAAGCATTCAGTCGTTATGTCCACTACTAGTTGCTCAACATGAATTGGAAAATTTGACTTTTTATGGAGGAAAATGCTATTATGAAATTTTGGGAAAGGATCTAATCCATCAGGCAGATCGATTGAAGCTAATTACTCTTGATCGAGCGGATATGAAAGAAAGCGCACCATGGACAGCTTTTGCGAAGTGTAAGAACCTGGAAGTCCTGAATATCAGGCAATGTTTTAACCTAACTCGATCGATGGTGTTTCCTATTTTTTCTGCTAATTTTTCCAGACTGAAGGAAATTTCCATTTTGAGAAATTTGCCAAAGGCTGTGCATAAGGATTTGGTTGGATGGTCAAGAGAATATCAAATGATGAAAGGATGAAAAGTTTTTGTTCCATATATCTTTATTACTTATTTTATTTTTGCGGTACATAAAATTGATCTCTCTGGGAACTAATTGAAGCATGCATTACCCTCTATGCACTAACAAAACTAAGAATATGATGCATCTATAAATAGGAGTGAGATGCATAACACGTTAGGATGATCGATTTAGAGAAACTAATCGATGCCATTGAGCTAAGGTATTGATTTAAATAGAATATAGAATTTGTTAAAATAAATATTATTATAATAATATATTTTTAAATTATCTATTTTATAATTTCAATAAATATATATTGTTGATTACCATATTTTTTCAGAGTTATTAAATACAACTCGATTTTATATCATAGTTTTATTAATAATTATATAACCCGCAATCAGATCAACATGGCATATCTTTATTGTATGTATACTAAATATTTACAAACTTTTGTAACTATCACATGTTAACTCACCTGTTATAGAAAAACTATTTCTTCAAATACAACTTAAAAAATAATATTTTGCTTCTTTATTGTTTTGAATTAATTATATATCAGTAAAATCAATGCCTACAGATCATTACTATAGATTATTCTAAGTTTTTGCTAATTTATTTTTTAATAATTTTTATATAATTTTTTTCTTTTCTCTTCTCTATTTTCTTAGATTGAATTTTCTACTAAAGATAATATAACTTCTTTATAGTTTTATTCAATTTATATATTTAGTTTATCTTTATATTTTTTAATTCTTTTTTTTACTTTAATACTATAATACCTAGATTTTTTTTTCAATTTATTACTTTGTTACAAAGACTATTTCAAATTTTCCTTTTGAAGTTTTTATGCATCTTTTGATAGAACTTATAATTATAGATTATGTGAATATTAAAAAAATTTTAAATTGCTCTTTAAAAATTTTTTTCCTGGATATAATTCTATTTTTTTTTTTTATATTCATTTATGAAATTAAAAAGACTTTTGCCTAATCACTAAATTTCTTTTAATCAATTTTTTATTCAATTATTAGTTATTAATAAAACTTTTTTTTTATTTTATATTTTTTATAAATATAGAATCTAATATTTTATATACTTATTTTTAAATATCTTTTCTAATTTTTCTTAAAGCTAAATATTTAAAGAGATATTCTAATATCTCTTTTTAAAGTTTATATATTGAATATATAACTATTGAATCAATATATGATTTCTTTTTTTTAAAATATTTATAGTACTAAAAATTTATTATAAACTAGATTTATTAAAAAACTTTCTTTATTGATTTTAAAAAATATATCTAAAAATATTAAATAAATTGAATTAATTTCATAAAATTAATTAGGTTATATTTTTATTTTGTTAAATCCACAGATCTTGAATTTTCTTTTATAATATCTAATTTAAATTAATATTTTTTATTTATTATTTTAATAAAGTTTTTAATATTGATATTTATTTTATATTTTCTTTATATAACTATCATTAAAACTTTTCTTAATTTTAATAACTAACACTAAACTATTGAATTTTTATATAATAATTGATTTATTTTGCAAAAAAATCTATGTAATTAATGAAATTATAATTCTATAAACTTTACTCTTCTTGATTTCTAATATAAAAATTTTTTTAAACTAAATTTTTAATTTTATTTTACAATTTAATGCAAAAATCTTTAGACTAATATTTTTTATTATAATTTAATAAATAATTATTGAATTTAAATATTTATATCATAAGAATATAATTATATATTTAAAGTTTTATCAATTATTAATTAATAATTTATTATAAAATATTAATTTGAAGTAAAAAAAAA